TATTCTCTCCCCCATAGACTTCAATGCCGTAAACATATTTCATCCAGTTTTTCTCAGTCTTACCCCACCCCAATGCCAGCCTCATTCTACAACAGTGATGGAGTCTGTTTTGATGCAAAGTGACTCCCCAGACGACAAAATACAATCCTCTCCTCTTGTGCCATCCTGACAATCTTTGCTCTGTTGAAGCCCATGGTAGCAGTCACTGTGTCAATTCTTCTGTCGAGGATCTTCCTGTGTTCTGCTCTGTACCAAGCAATGTCTGTGTCATTTATTTTCTCAATTATATTCAATACTTCTCCAGAACGAACTACCTCTCAGCATAAAGATAGATTAGAGATTGGAAACAACTATGTGTATAAATGTACCTATACACACATTTCTTGGAAGGAGTAGCATCCACTTCCTAAACAACTACACCTCCAGAAACTATGAACTTTGATAAAGGTCAATAGCTACAGAAAGGCTTCAAGCCTTTTGTTTATAGGGTCACTATGAGTCATGCTTGACTCGACAGCAATCAACAACAACATTTCATATTCTATAGCATTCAAACTTCTTTTCCCGTATTTATTAGATGCGAGGCATCAGGGGCTCTGGTGGTACAGCCATTAAAGTGTTTAGCTGAGAACCCCTAATACTGGTGTCAGCTTCTGTAAAGACCACAGCTCTCGCAGCCCCAAGGAGCAGTTCTGTCCCGCAGGGCTGTGAGCAGTCGGCAGTGATGCAAAGCCAGTGAGTCTGTCCGGTCTTTTAGATAGTGGGATAAGGCTCAATTTTCCAAGTCCTGGAGTTCTAGAACCCTCTTGATCTCTAACATCTTTCAGGGAGAGGAAATTACTGTGTGCACTACTGAGATCTGAACACGTGGATCATCTCTTTGAGAAGACCAGTGCTCAGGAAGAACCAGGCTGGGACCCTGCCTGGGCCAAGTGAACAAATGTGAAGGACTTTCTATGTAAAATATAAGGACAGAAGACAAAGTGAGGGTGAGGAAGGCAGTCCCAGCCACATGTGTGGTTTCCACACAAAGCTCATGAGCTCTGGAACCTGGAAACGGATAGAGGTTGCAGGCAACCTTGGTAATGAGGCCAGGAGGCAGACAGCAGCCTGAGAAAGTATCTTCCACTTCCTGCAGCACCATTTGCTCAAAGTTAACCTTGTTAGGTAATGTACCTCAAGTTTCTTTTTTCAACAAAATAGGCACAAACATCTCTGAAGAGGGGAGGTCTGTACCCTCAGGGATGCTGAGCCCTTAGCAGACCTGTGGCCTCTCCAGGTCACACAGGACTGAGGCTATCGACATGTTCTCAGCCATACTACACGGTGGCCCACTGTCTAGGAAGGCAGAGATGTGAGACCCTTAATGCTTCCTGCTGTGACAGATTATGACCAGAAGTGAGAAGGGGGGGGGCATATTGGGTAAAGCACAGCCTTTGAAAGAGTTATTCATCAGGGGCACCAAATGCTCAACCTAGACTCTCAAGAAAGGTTCAAGCCCAGGTCACAGAATCAGGAAAAAATGAAGGAATATGGTGATGCTAGGAATCATGCTGCCAATTCAAAGGTCTGTGGTTGGAATCCACCAGCTGCTCTGTGGGAAAAAGATGGGCAATCGGCTCTCATGTGATTTGTTGTTATGTGCCATCGAGTCACTTGCGTAATAGCCCTGAAACCTGCTCTATCCTGTGCCAACCTTGTCTCTGACAAACTCTCCCCATTACCTCAGTCACTGAATCAACCCATCTCATCAAGGGTCTTCCTCTCTTGCACTGTCCCTCCACCCCTCCAAGCATGACATCCCTCTCCAAGGCTGGTTTCTCCATGCAACATGCCCAAAGTATGTCAGACGAAGCCTCAGAATCATTGCCTCCAAGAACAGCCCGGTTTCATCCTCTCCAGGACAAACCTGTTTGTTCTCCTGGCAGTGTTCATGTGATTTAGCCTCTAAAAACTTGCTGGAGAGGGTGAAGGTCTGGTCCCAGGAGTGTGGTGCCCACGTTTTCCTCATCCCCATATTAGGGCAGAGCCCAGGCAAACCACAGGAGGAGGAAGCACTAATGAAGCACAGCAGAGAGTCAGATTATCAGGACGATGACCAAGACCAAGTACAGTATTCGGGGAAGCAGAAAAAAGTTTGAAATCCCCACGCAAAAAGAGTTTCAAAGTGGAATTTTGTTAGCTGAATCAAAAGCAAGGCCAGAGATGAGACAGAAAATGTGACTTAGAAGTGCTCATAGGAGACAAGGCCAATGAATCATGGGAGAAAGGCCTGTGCTCTGGAGGCCAGCCAGCTGCTGCTGGTCATTGGAGTGCCCACGGAAGGAAGAGGTGGGGCCTGTACACAAAGCAGCTGCCTGGGACTCAGCACACCGGAGGTACTTCTAGTAATAGTCTAAGACCAAAAAGTACTCATGACCTCGGCAAATCAAAGAGCTGCAGACAGGAACTCAAGAAGAGAAACTTTCCAGAAGGAGCTCTATCGAATCCATGAGATGTTCTGCTGGAAAAGAGGCAGTCTCCTGTGCCAGTCGGATTTGATACAATGGTACACAGAAGGGGGGGAGCTTTCTCTGGAGGGAGTAGTGGTCTAGCGTTAAGAAGCTGCTATCCCAAAGGCATGCACGTCAAATGCACCAGTTGCTCCAGGAGAGAGGGTAGGCAATCTTCTTCTGTTCAATTTTGTGCCTCAAAAACTTGCTGGAAGGTCAGCTCTGAGTGGTTCTGACTTGATGGCACATAGCAACAACAGGAAGATATGTGGTGGGGTCAAGAAATAAAGGTAGTCTTGGAAGAGGAAATGGCTAGCACCTTGTTTTCAAACAGGACTATGAAAATAAAGGGAAAATTACAGGAGATCTTCCAAATTAAGGGGGGGGGGAGAGGCAACTTGAATAAAACCATAGCACAGAAAGAAAGGGAACCAGTTCAAACAAGGACTCTGAGCTGTTATAAATCAGGAAGAGGCTCCCTACGGACATCAGACATCAGTCAAAATGTGGAACGATCAAATTCTCCTTGAAAGGGGTAGCCCGTGCTCACCAAGCCAGCCATGTGTCCTGTGGAAGAAACACATTTCAGCGACGACAAAGGCAGGAAATGAAGAGGCAGGCTTGGAGGCATGGCTGGAGTAGATGGAGGGGGACATTGTCACAGCAGCCAGGGTGGGGGTCAGAGTATAAAGTGCCCAAAAGAACCCAAGAGGAATTACAGAATGATGCTAAAGGGGACATGTGATAAAGAAGTGTGAATAAACAAATAACTGCAGCAGATAAATACACAGTGCAACAGGAGT